TTAAGAGCACATATGGTGATAATATCCAACGGGTGTCGGGCAGATGGGAGCGGGGAGGAGGGGATGAGTATATTCACACCTAATGGGTGCGGTGCGCGCCGTCTGGGGGATGGACACGCCTGAAGCTCAGACTTGGGTGGGGCAAAGGCAGTATACATAACGTGAACATTTGGACCCCTGTAATATGCTGAAAGTAAAAAAAAATTTTTTAAGTGTGGAATATAACAAACCTACACACACAAAGATGAATAAAAGATAAGCATGAAGTTTAAAACATTTTTGTAAAACAAACATTCATGTACCCCCACTCAAGTCAAAAAAATAGATCAATATTAGCACTTTATTTCATTTATGAAACTTAGTTTTGCAGGGTACAAAATTCTTGGCTGACAGTGACTCTGATTAAGAAGACTAAAGAGAGGACCCCAATCCTTTTTCACTTCTGAGGTTTCTGCTGAGAAGTCTGCTGTTAGTTCGATGAGTTTTCCTTTACGACTTGATGCTTTTGTCTCACTGTTTGTAAGATTTTCTCCCTCACATTGACTTTGGCTGGTCTGATGACTATGTGCCTCAATGATGTCCCCTTTGCAATGAATCTCCCTGGTGTTCTTTGAGCTCCTTGTATCTGGGTACCTAAATCTCTGGCACGAGCAGAGAAGTTTTTCTCCATTCCACACTCTGCTTCCATATGTGCACATTATTTAGCTTCTGCTTAAAAGTAAGAATATCTGGTATTTGTCTTTCCGTGTCTGAGTCATTTCACTTAAGACAATAGCCTTCAGTACCATCCATGTTGCTGCAAAAGACATGAGTTCAATCTTTTTTATAGCTGCATAGTATTTCATTGTGTACACACAGCACATTTTCTTTATCCAGTCCTCCGGTGATGGGCACTTAGGTGGATTCCATATGTTTGCTAACATGAACAGTGCTGCCATAAACATTCAAGTACAAGTACCTTTTTATATATTGATTTTTTCTCCTTTGGGTGGATAGTAATGGGATTGCTGGATCTTATGATGGTTCTATTCTTAGTTCTTTGAGAAATGTCCATACTGTTTTCCATAGAGGTTGCACTAATTTGCATTCCCACCAACACTGTATTAGAGTTCCCTTTTCTCTGCTACCTTGCCTGTTGTATTTTTTTTTAATAGCCATTCTGACTGGTGTAAGATGATATCTCATTGTCGTTTTAACTTGCATTTCCCTAATGATAAGTTATGTTGAGCATTTTTCCATATGCTTATTGGCCGTTGGTCTTCTTTTGAAAAACTAAACGTAACACTTACCAAACAATCCAGCAATCACATTCTTTGGTATTTACTCAAACAAGTTAAAAACTTATGTCCACACAGAAACCTGTACATGGACTTTTATAGCAAATTTATTCATAATTGCCTAACTTGGAAGTGTTAAAATAAAAAACATTAACAAAGTTTATTCTTTGGAAAAAGGAAGCTTTATTTCTCATAAAGGGTAGCAGGCTGTGGGGCGGTCATTCCAACTGGCTGGGAAGCCGAACCCTGGCGAGAAGCCAGGCACACGTGCTTCAAAGAAGAGACAAAAGGGGACAAACAGGATTTTATACTGAGTGAGGTGGTCAAATACACATATTCAACAGCTGTATAGGAGGGGTCATGAGTACTTATGAAGGGAGATCATATGCATGTAATTGTACTTCATCTCTCCCATCCTGTCATGGCTGGGACCTCAGTTTTAAGGTGTGTGTGGGTCCCCTTGGCTGAGAGGGGTCCATTGAGTTAGCAGAGGACTTAGGATTTTATTTTTAGTTCACAGAAGCAACCACAATGTTTTCAGTAGGTGAATGGTTAAATAAACTATGGTACATCCAATGGAATATTATTCAGTGCTTTG